TCACACCTCAACCCGCCTCAAAGCCAACGCTGATTGGACGTTCGTTTGGTGAACGGCTCCAAATTTTCTTCAACGGAGAGTCTCCAGACTGACCTGCGAGTGAAACCTTGAAAGCTCGCGAGATCAGGATGGTCTCACGAGGCTAGAAGTATATATACTGCTGTTCAAAAACACTCTGGTAAACGTTGAAGTATCAACTTCACCTCTTTACTCAAGAAAAAGTGAAAAAGTATTTGCTCCAAAAACTACTTAAAGAATAAAGCAACCTTTAAAAAAACAGCCAGATGCCACTAAATGAATTAGAAGCTCAATTTTCTGACTACTTTGAAAAATTCTTTGAGATAGGGCCAAGGATGAGGGAGGTCTTGTTGGTCTCCACTGTGTCCAACCTTTCAGACATTTCAACATCTTTTTCTGAATCCAACATTGTAGCATGGCATAGACAATTCACGTTTGCAGTTTGAAGAACACCTGATTTCCTTTAGCTAACCAATGAGTTTTTGCGTTCTATGACTCATCCAATGACACTAGTTTTCACTAGATGTGGATGGAGTCAATGATCTGCATTGGATGGAGCACATGACGGGAAATAAATATTTATAAACATTAAACCAAAGCCAAGAGTAACGAGTAACGTTTGTCTTAAAAATGTAAGGAATAGAAAGTACAGATACTTGTGTGAAAATCTAATGAGTAGAAGTCAGAAGTAGGAGGAAAAATAAGTAATGGAGTAAAGTATAGAAACCTAAAAAGTGTACTTAAGTACAGTAACAAAGTATTTGTACTTTGTTACTTCACACCTCTTATAACCAGGCATTGAAATTCCCCCAGCATCACTTCCTGTACATTAGACTATCTGAGAGAAGAACAAAACTAAGGATAACATCTTAAAAAAAAAATTTGATAGATTTGACTCGCTATTTTTACACAAATTATATCTGATTTTTTTTTTTCCATATAAAAAAGTATTTCCTCTAAAGTTTGCCTTATTCCGATGATATTATATAAAATGAATTCAAGCTATTTTATTTTGGACAAACCTCTCTATCTGTTTTACATTTGACTGTTACACCCGAGTTGTACCCTCATCTCTGTTACCTGGGCTGTTTTATTTCCAAGGGTGGACATCTCAGATACTCTAATGTATGTGTATGAAATGCTGGGAGCCGAGCTGCTTAGTAACCTCTATGACAGGCTGGGCAGGCTGCTCATGGACCCCCAACAGTCCGCAGTATGGCAGGTAATGTCTTGAACAAACTGCATCCACTGCATGTTTCTTCTTTTTTTTTTTAACAGGTGATTTACAGTGAAAAACTGTCAGGATTAACAGATTTGTAGATTAGAAAAACATCCAAAAGCTAAACGACTTCAGTAATTCAATTAAAAAAGGGAAACTAATTATATTGATATATTTAACACAGATTGATGTGTGTGTTTTACATTTTTTATTGGAAAATGTAATCTGTTTCTGAAAATTTTAATAAAAAAAGACAGTAAATGTAATCTAAACTTGAAGGGAGGGTTTTTGGAAAAACGATCAATAAGTAAAAAAAATCCCTAAATAAGCGTATTCACCCTTAATTTCAGTACGTAAATAAGACAGTTTGCCAATGGAATGAGTGTTTTTTTTTCTTAAAATAAGCAAAGATAGATAAAATGCTCTTGAAATAAGACAATACATTGAGTTTTCTTATTTTAAGTCTAAATTGTCTTGTTCCATTGGCAAAATGTCTCTTTTACCTCCTCAATCCAAGAACAAATGCACTTATTTTAAGAAAAAAATGACTTATTTAGATTTCGATTTTTTTCCAATGAATGCAATGAGTAATGCTTAGAAGCTGTTCAGAAGACATAGGTTGCTTGAACAACAGCAGGTCTGTTCTGCTGGCTTTGATTTCTCTCATTTCTCTCATCTTTTTGCCCACAGATTCTCTGTGAGGTTTAATTAATGACAGTTTAAGCATCAACAGTGCTGAGGCATCCTGGATTGCATAGCGTACATTCCGCTTTCTTTTAAAACTAGTTATTTTTTGGGCAAATTGAGTGCAATTAGTCAGTGGAGAAAATGCCAAAACATGCATTTATATCTGTTGTTCATAAAAGAAGCTTTCTCTTAATCATTTTTAGCCAAAGCGATGAAGAGTCATGGTAGCAGACAACCTGAGTGCTTTTATCAGTGTGCAGGTCATATTCTAATAACCAAACCGTGCAAATTCATGTATGGAGGACATGCAAATATAAACATTCACTGCATGAAAATCGATTTTCTTTTGCAGATGCAGGGTTTGCATCTTTTTAAGCACTTCTAAAAGTAAAATACAAAATCACACAGAAATTACTGCAGTCATTAGAACACAAAAGGAGTGATTGGAACAATAAGAGACGATAGAGAGAGATTCTGTGTCAGTGAACAGGGCTGAATTGGCCATACAGGCCATGTGGCCTAATGGGGCCACGCCCATTTTTGGGCCTCCTCAAAAGCTATTAATGTATTAAAAAATGTACCTATTATTAATATATTAACATAAATTAATTAATTTGTCAATTAACTAAATTATAATTTAATAAATGTATTTAAAACATAAATCATGTCTTTCAAAATATTACAAAAAAATCATGAATTTGGTCTTTAGAATACAAGAAGTTTGTTTGATGAAATATTTCTTTCAGTATTACAAATCGGAGGATATCATCAGTTACCAAATCTTTAAGTAACCGTTTTACCAAACAGTTATTTTTTTTACTGGAGTTATTTCATTTACTGTATATTTATGCTTGTAACCTCTGAACATATCTCATCCGCTCTGCTGAATGTCTCCCAATAAAATAGACAGAATCATCATGGGCCGCCATGACAGACCCAGTCCAGCCCTGCATGCAAACTTTTTTGGACCATCAAAAATAATAGTAGAATAATATTATTAAAAGGAGAGCGGAAAATCAACAGACAAAGACACGTTTTTAATCTTTTATATTTATATTTTTTCTATTTAACTTTATTTTCATCATTTAATTTATGTTTGTTAATAGCATTAGAGATAGGCTCCTTAAAGTCTTCTATAAATATCATTTAGTGATATAATTATTATGTTCTCTATAGTTATTATCTCCATCTCCTTGACTCTGAACCTCATCTTTTTTTGATGGCTGCTCTCAAACTGTCTGCTCATTTTAAAGGGTGGAACCAGACCGGTTTGCGCATCTTAATATTTACACAGAAATCTTTGTAGATCACCTCCAACATGCCCACTTATTGCATTTACTAAAAAATTCACCTCTTTTTGTAATCTTAGTGTGTCTAAGTGTGTACTGACATGTTAAATTATTGACTCCAGCCAGAGACCGTGCTTTACGATTCTCCCAACAGAGGGAAGTTTGACTAGGGCTGCATTTGCAATATCATTATTTAACAAAATTAGAGACACTTAATTTTGGTCATATTACATTTAAGTAAACTCAATTAAGTAGTTAAACTTCTTATTACAGCCCTTTAGTTGCCAGTAATGAGCTTTAAGAGGGTGCAAACACACAGAGAAGAAGAGAAAGATGCAGCTAGCTCACATATTCATACCTGCAAGTAGGAGTTAGTACTTTTTCCCACACAAAGGTTATTTAAAGTCCTGCAGAAATGGACGCTGGACAAACAAGCTTCCAAGGTCATGAGAAATCCTTAACCCTTTAGTAAATAATTTACATGATTGTGGTTAGTGCAGGGGAAGCTCAAATAAAATCTCAATATTGGTTTCATTATAGTCCCTAGTTGCTTTTCACCCATTTCAAAGCAGTTTTTCCTTCCACCCAACTTTCTACTCATATAATTGCATTCAAACTCTAAAAATGTAACTTTTTTTTTTACCTTTTGACTTTCATGACCATAACATAACTTTTCGGTATCCAACATTTTTTTATTAATAATAATAATTTTTTGTAATCCAGCTGAAGTTATGATTATTGTGAGGGACCAGACTTAAATAAGGACAAAAGGTGTTCAAAATTTGAAAAAGTACTTTCATTTAATTGTGTAAAAAATGGTTAACAAAGGCTCAAAAGCAATACAAAATAACTTCAATAATAAATAACATGGATCTGGGCCCAACTTAACTGAGGTCAACTGAGGATCAAACTCAAACAAAAAAAATGACCTGCAAACAAAGAACTAAAGGCTGCTTAAAAAGGGATGGAGTAACCCAAGTCTACCACATAAGGGAGGCACCACATAACAAAAGAATGAACCATTCTATGAAACAAATAAAGCAAAACTAACTTTTACTTAGCAGAAACAATTATAAGTGAGTATTTAAGTGACAAATAATCTGATAAAAAACAACTTGAAACAAATCTCCCCTATTAGTCTTTCAAAAAGCAAATGGTACGCTCCAGGTTTCCTCCTCCAGCTGGTTTGCATCAGCAGCACCTCAAACAAAAGAACAAGTGTAAATAAACCATTCAGACAGACATTAACTAAAGTGTGCACCCATTAGAAAATACCTGTCTAAAAGAAATAACCAACTTAAACATAAACTGTAATATAATATAAAGCAAGAAAAAAAAAATACTAACATGATGTGGTGGTTGGAGGATCATCCACCACAATTATATTGGATTAAAGGGTTCGTTTGATGGATGGATGGATGCTACTAAGAATTAGCGTAGCCTCAGTTCAGGCTGATTTTGTTTACCTTGTTTCTGCTAACAATCAGTTCTCTGTAGCTTCTGTAATCAGAGTCGCCGCCTCATTTTGCATCTGAACAGCTTCCTTTTCAGTCATCATTTCCTTACAGCCCCCTTCTTTACCATCTTAGGACACTGAAGCTTTGCTGTTCGGCTTCCAGTCCATAGCCGAGACCATCGACGTGAACTACTCCGATGTTATCCCTGGACTGATCGGTCTGATCCCTAGAATCAACATCAGCAACGTGATGCTGGCTGACACAGTCATGTACACCATAGGTATCAACAGACAACTTTGAGGTTTATTCAAAAAATAAAAATCTAATCATCTAATGAGTCCAAACTTTTAAATTTCTGCCACCTGTAAGGGTCACTGGCTGAGTGGTTGGCCGACCATCCCGTGATGCTGGGCGGCATATTACCCATGGTGCTGCGGGGCCTTGTGAAGGCAGAGCTGTCTGTGTCCAGTATCTCCACGCTCAAAAGGATCTGCAGGGAGTGCCGGCAGGACCTGGCCCCTTACGCTCAGGACGTTCTTGCTGTCGCTCAGGTCAGACACACAACCTGTCATCACACCAGCCTGAGGCGTGTTTTTAACACAGATTTGTTTTGCTCTTTTTTATAAGGATGCACTTTTTAAGGAAATCCACGAGGTGAGTAAGGAATCCTGGACGATTTATTAAATCAAAATCGGTAAATAAAAAAGCAGCTGCATTTTTGTGTGTGTGTGTGCAGAGCAGCCAGTGCATGTGGCTGATGCAGGCCTTGGGTTTCCTGCTGTCGTCTCTACCAGCAGAGGAGATTTTAGGCAGACTGCACTCACTCATCACCCCCCACATCCAGCAGCTGGACTCACTGACCCAACAGGAGGTACGCATCAAAGGAGTCCTAAAAAAAACAAAGCTTATACTTAAATATAGAACATAATGTGAGACGCATCACAAGATCAGGCATAAATCTGCAAGATTTCTGTTTTTTAATATGCTTTTTTATTAGATGTTTAGTGTTATTGTTCTTTTATTGTTGTGTTCCACAATTTTGTGTTTTTTTTGTGCAAGTATTCAACTTTAACTGACCTTCACAACATCGTGTTATATTATAAACACATGGACACAATTGTTGGTACCCTTCGTTTATAATGAAAGAAAAAACCCACAATGGTCACAGAAATAACTTGAATCCCCAAAAAAGTAATAATAAATAATAAAATGGATGGTATCTTTAGAAAAGATTCAAAATAATTTAACATGGGCGAAAATGTTCTTATTTCAGCTACATCATCTTTTGTTTAATCTTTCTTTGATTATTTTGTATCTTTAAAAAAAACTAAATGCATCATAAAGCATTGTCTATTTTTGGCTAATTTTAACTGTAAAAATCTTTCTACCTTTTATTTCAATATATTATTATTTATTTTTTGTGCAAAGTATTCAACTTAAACTGACCTTCACAACATCGTGTTATATTATAAACACATGGACACAATTGTTGGTACCCTTCGTTTATAATGAAAGGAAACCCACAATGGTCACAGAAATAACTTGAATCCCCAAAAAACTAACAATAGAGGTAAAAAAAAAAAAACTATGAAAAAATAAACTCATGAAACAGGTCTGGATAAAAATAATGGTACCTTTTAGAAAAGATTCAAAATAATGTGACCAAAGGGACATATTAAATCAAGGTGTGTCCACTAATCAGCATCACAGGTGTGTAATATCTTGTAATCAGTCAGTGCGCCTATATATAGGGCTACAGGTAGCCACTGTTCTACAATAACAAAGTTACGGTTAAATAAAGCTGCAGTTTGAATCCTTGTGTCCTCCTGACATCATATATGTGATGTCAGGGTTAAATAAATTGCTCAGATTTGGAAAATCATGAGCAACAGATTTTTTTTTAAAGTTTCTCTTCATGCATCTTAACTTTAAGTTATTAGAGTAGTGTAGCAGTAGCAGAATTCCCTTCAAGAAACTTAAAAAATATGAGGTTTAGTCTTAAAATGTTTCTTACATTAAATTTTCTCTCTTTATAGCCCAGTCCTGCAAATAAACAGAGCATCGTGTACATCCTGGGCATGTTATCCAGCCTCTTTACCACCCTGGATGTCAACAGGCAATGGGATGGTTTAGAGGAAGAAGGCGCCAGCACCAGCCTCTCCTCCTCACAGAGCGTTCAGAATCCAGTAAGTCTGCAGAAAACCTTTGTAGTATTTCATTAAAAAAAGGATGAAAGTTTTACTCGCTGTTTTTTCTTTCACATCTTTAGGTCGTAGTCGTGCTGCAGCAACTTTTCCCTTTAATCCAGACCATCGTTAGCAAATGGATTCATGACTCAGAAGTAGTGGAGGTGGGATTTTTGGTTTTTAATTTTAGCTCCTTCATCCCTTCACCTGCATATTTGAACAACTTTTGCTTGTTTAATGATCCTCCCATCTCAGGCAGTGTGCGGGATCTTCGACAAGTCAATCCGGACTCTCCTGCATGATTTCGGCCCCATGGTGCCCCAGCTGAGTGAGACGCTGGGACAGATCTACAATGCTTACCCACAAGCCCCTGCTCTGGACCTGACACGTCAAGTATGGAGTCACAGATCTGGGGTCTCATTTATAAAACGCTGCGTATGGATTCATTCTAAAGTTGTACCTATGCCCAAGACCTAAAAATGGAGTATATATAAAAAAAAAAAAAAAAAAAAAAAAGCTCTTATTTATAAAACCATGTGAACAGACAAAAAAAAAAAAAATTTCTTTATGGATCACAGCTGTACCTTAAAGGAATAGTACACCCAAAACATGATTAGCCTTCATTTTCTACTCACCCCCATGCTGAACAACACTCTGGAGTACTTTTTTGATATCTCAAATGCATCTGGAGATCTGGGAGGCTTCTTGCTGTCTGCTGACATTCAAATAATGGAGGTCTATGGCGCCCGAGACAGAAAGGTCCTTAAAAGTCCACAAAAAACGTGTCAATATTCCTCCATACTGCTCGTCCAATGTATTCCAAGTGTCCTGAGTGGGTAGCATCCAGAATTTACTCGAAACAAAGTCATTTAGAATGTTTTTAGAGCATAAACAGTAGTGTATAGGATTTCCTAAAAGCGCGCGCCTGCGCGTTCACGACGCTACGGAAGCCGGCAGACCAAACCAGATCTTTATGGATAAAGAAAATGATTTTGTTTCTAAAGCCGACCTCAGACAGAGAGTCAATTAATTTTTTATTATGTTTAACGCCTGTGCGGAAATTTGCGCTGGTAAGAAACCAAAAGTTGTTATTAACAAAGAAAAAAGAAGGAAAACACCACACAAGATTTAATATGGCCGAAAATGTTCTTGTTTCAGCTACATCCTCTTTAATTATTTTGTATCTTTAAAAAAACTAAATGCATCATGAAGCATCGTCTATTTTTGGCTCATTTAAATTGTAAAAAATATTTCTACCTTTAATTCAATATATTTTTGGTACAAAACATAAGTCCAAGAGCTTTGCTTTATGGCATCTGATCAGCTGATAACCTGTTTTAATCCTGTGTTAGGAAAAAGTTGTCCAAACCTCTGCCCTAACCCCTAAATCTTATCTTATAGTGAACTCAGTTAACTGAGCGTTCGGACAGATGATCACTACTTTTCGCTCCCCGTTGGTCACGTAACTCCGCCTCCGCTGCACGGTGCTGCTCCATCTTTGTTATCTGTCGTCAACAGCATTGTGGTGTTTGTCACAACAAATCCCATGATGCTTTGCAAGGACAGCTCTCGTTGCAAAGCATTCCAGGATATATCTGCTCATCTAGCAATCATGGATGATCACTACTTTTCAAGGTACATTGTAGGAAATTTCAAGTCCACAACTTTTTTTCTTCCACTAGACATTTAGACACTCATCTAAAACCACTATATAGTGTCCTATATAATGATTAGGGTGGACAGTTGGAGACAGGCATAGACTCCAGCATAGTCACAGCGTCCATCGTGCACTTGTTTACAGCAATCCGTTTGTTATATTTATTTAATGATCAGCGTTACGACTTGCCTCGCTGATCACCGGGGGGATGGAATGTGATTGTCAGGAAATGGCTGAATATTGTGCGGGCTTTCACTTTTAATTTAAGCTTGTTTATGAATCTTATTTTTAATTTGATTGGGCAGCATTAATCACACTATGGTTTCAAATCCAAAAAAGTCAATCTATGATTTAAGTTTCAAGTGAAAATAAATGTGATGTATTCTGGCTTCAGTTCCTCACCAATATTCTCCAATATCTTCAACCTTCAGATTGGTCGGGGTGGTGTGAGGTACTGCACATTTTACCCCCCATAAAATTAGCTTTTTATAATTACCAAATTTCAATGGAAAATTAACAAGTTTCAGACCCCGTTTTGTTGCATACACAAACTTTCTTAATGAGACCCCTGGACTGAACCCTGGGTGTGAAAATGCCTGGTATAATCTCTTTCTTTCTCTGTCTAGATGGTGCATATCTTTGCTGGAGACGAGCAACACCTCTCTGACATCCGAAGACTTGTAGAAGTGCTGACCTCAACCACGCTCTCTATATTTCAGCAAGGTAATAAAGGCTAAACTCTTATATCCAACAGACTTGTTTTGTCCTTTAGTTTGCTGTAAAGCAGTGCTCTTTCCTACATATCAAATATTATGTTCATTAAAGACACTTCAAAGGAGAATTTACTGACTTTTTTCCAATTTGCAACTTTTGAAAATCTCTTATTTTAATTTTAACAATTTCAGACTTCTATTTAACAACTGTAATAAAAGATTTTTCTAGCCTCGCCTCTTGAAGCAGTCATACATTTTATTTAACTTTCTTAGGAGATGAAGTTTATGAGAGTGTTTGATGTAAAGTCTTGGGTTCATTAATTAACTAATATGTTAAATCTACCTTTAGCTATTAAAAAACAGCAGTTAGCAAGGTTAGCATTACTAAAAACTGACTGATTTATTTTTCTAAGGCTGCCTACGTATCGTGAGTTCAGACAAAGCTCAGACAAATGTGTCCCTCTCCTCACAGAGTATATAAACCCAAACATGCTTCAATGTTTTCTGAAAGATGAAATAAATTCCCTCGATGAGCCCCTCATATCTACATTATCTCTGACTTTGCTTGTGAACATGGCTAACTCAGATCTTCATTCTGTAGCAGCATTCACACTGAAGAGTGTTGTGAGCGTGACCTCCCAGTGCTTTGGTGTGGTGTGCACAACAATTAGAAAAAGATGGGATTCATAATTTTCCAACCATGCTTTAACTAGTTAAGGCTAGAAACTGACTGAAATAGTTTTCTTTGGAGGTGGTTGCAGATACACATCATTTTTACCTCAGCCTAACCAATCCTAGATATGTTCTGCTAATATTTGTATTATTATGGAATGAGCAGAACAAGATTTTCCTCTAATATAACAACTGTTGCCCCTACTGAAGACTCTTGGCTGAGTCTTCTTTGGTACTTGAACAAGGCATGAGGTCTTCCAC